GGTGGCAGGTGGGAGACACTCGCTCAGTCCAGGAGTGAGTTTAATACAAAAAGTACAAAGCCAACGTGAACGCAGTCACTGCATTAACTGTGCAAACAACGGTATTGACAAATGTCGACGTTTAAATGACGGAATAGAACGCGGTGACTGCCGAGGGGAAGGAAAGAAGGCAGCGCGGGGTGAGGGAGCTGGTTCCTCACAGCCGAGCGGGCCGCGTGGGCCAGCGCAGTGCCGGTTAGCTGCAAGTACTCACAAAACTCATTGTCCGTGTTCAGGGCAAAGACACAGGTACGATGTTGCCCAGAGAGGCCAGACTTTGAGACTTCAGATAAGACCTTTACAATAAATTAATTAGGAAAACCACAAATAACGCAGGCGCACAAATGGGGCCTTCACCGTTGCTGTATTTCAGACCCAGTGTCGGGGTACGGTGATGAGCTCGCAGCCCAGCGCAGTGAAGGATGCTGTGAGACGCCCTGGACAGCACCGGGTACCCGGCGAGAAATGGTGTCACATTGCCACTTTGCAGACAGAGCTTGTCCAAAGCCTCTGCACGTTTGGGGACTCAGTTCTGTTTCGGTTGGAGCAATGCTCTGAACCGTGCTCAGGCTGTGACGGAGCACAGCTGAGGTGCGCTCCCTGGAGATTTACCGGGAGCCAGGACTCCTGCAAGTGAGTTTTCCTCTGTGCTCAAGTACCAGCTGGAGCATTTCCCGTTAACGTCTGGGCTATGCGCAGTACCTGCCAGAGTGTGTCCTGTGACACGTTCATCACATTGTACATGAAGAACACTTAGCTTCGCAGCTGTTAAAAACAAATAAAATTGTAATTACAAATTTTGAGTAAAGTTTGATGATGGGATATCATAACTTACAGAAAGTTGTGCAGCAAAATTTAAAGAGAGACTTTACATACCCAAACAGACAAAAAAGGAAAAAAATATTTATCTGACCTATATAAAAAATAAAAAAATAAGACATCAGCCAGATAATAAAATAACTTTGCTCTAATACACAGCAAACACTCCTGCCCAGCCACTAAGATGACGACATTTCCAGGCGGGATCTGAACAACAGAGAAGGATGTACAGATTTAATTCTACAACTCCTCTTTTGCGTCTGCTGTTGTGTGGATCTTCCCCTGCACCAGCACCCAGGGAACTGCCCGCCAGGAATTCGTAGGGTGGACAAAGTCGATGTCACTGAGCTGCATTTGCCCCGCTTGGCTGCCACACGCCAAAGGAGCAAAGACAGAATCGTAACGATGGAGAATCTGTAAAAACAGCGCAGTGTCTGTCATTCTATCATTGCTCTAAACTGCTGTGTGTACTTCGACAGCTCCTCGGTTTGATCCTGAAGTTCCTTCATGGCACCTGTGTTTGGATATTGTATTGCAGCATTTTTGGTGGCAACAGCGAGATTCTTCAAGAGGCTGCAAAACCGGCTGCTGCTGTGGAGAATGTCGTTCCGAGCATCTCTTTCTTGAGTTTCCTGGCAGAGAGAATCCACTAGCTTTTGTCCCACCATGATGATCAATTTGCTGTGGGATATGAAGACTTCAGGTGGCTGGTTGTTGCTCAGACTGTTAGTAAATACACCGATTGCCTTGTGAAGTGCACTGAAACACAGCTTACAGTGTTCTGGGAGAGCGATCTTCTTTACAGAGTCCTGCTTGCTTTGAATTGCAGTCTTTCTTGCAGATGGCAAAACCTGGAAAAGGATTAAAAAAAAAGAAAATAGACTTAGCTTGGTGGCACACCGATTGTTCCTGCATTTGCTCTACTCTATAATTCTTCACGTTCTTCTTCACTTACGGGGAGTTTTGTTAGTTAATAGTCTCCAAATTGCCCAGCCCAGGAGGTTTTTACAATCAATTCTCTTCCTAAAGCACTGGACTTCAAAGTGGTGTTTTCTCCTGATCGCCCTTTCCCTAAACAAATTTCACCAGAGACGATTTTAATACCAGATAGCGGAGGAAGTGCTGTGGCTAAACATCAATCCTTCATACAGTCTGGACTTCAAGATTTCAGATGATACAAAACACTCAGACTTGATCTTTAGTGGTGGTGACTTCATGAGGGTTATGAATGATTAAAACTGTACAATAACGAGTGTCAATCCTTACACCAGTGCAATACTAACTCTCACAGCCTTATCCTGAACAGTACACAACGGCAAGCTAATAAATAGTGCGACTTTACACTAGAGTGGTTCATTACATTTGAGGAAAATAGATGCTTTGCGCAGATTTTCAGCAGTAATTCTAAGAACTAGTTCTGGGAAAATGAACTATGAGAAAACAAATAGATCTCTGTGTATAGATATGTGTGTCCAAATGCAAATGCTTTTGAATTTTAGCAAGCACAGGAATCAGGGACTGGAAGTCCTTGTAAAATAATAATTTTCAAAATTAGAAATACCTTTGGTTTTGAATCTGTACTCTCCTTTGCCTGAAATGATTTTCTGTGCCTGTTACAACTCAAAATGAAAACAAAGTTGAAATGGTTTACATAAAATAACTAAATATAAATGTGCTTTTCTCTTATTTCGAGGGAAACAACTCCTTGCTGTGCAGCCTTCATGTTAGGGACAACAATGGTATGTTTATTAGAAGCAACTGTAGATTTTTGCCTACTAAAAATTTAGGATCTGATCTTACAAGATCTAAGACAAACCAACATCAACAAATCACATTCCCTAAATTCTTAGGACGAGCCAGCATTTCTTTGTGAAACCAAGAGAGTTACATTCTTAGTACACATTTCGGTGATTCTAAGGAGAATGATTCTAACAAACATCCAAAATTATTCTAATAAATAAATTTGACAATTCACAGTAAGAGTTTAATTTAAGCATGCTTTCCAGTACACCTGAAGTTACAAAGTTAACATTTCTTGTTATAGTTGTGTTAGAGTCAAACAAACAAAATGTACCGGCAAGGAGAGAACTACTAGTCAGAAGAGAGGAAACAAATTGCTGACTGCCAGCTGAAAGCTGCCTCTCAAATGAATTTCAGCGGGCAAGCTAACATTTTTTTCTGAGTGCTGGCTGCCTGGGTAAATTCTCAACAGCCAGTTGTCTTTATTATTTAAACTTACTGATCATTCTACATTCTCACACTCTAATAGGATCCTGAATTCACATAAAGACTGGAAATTAGGAAGTAGTGCAAACTCAATTTGGCACTAGTGCAAAGAGAAAATAGTACTAATGGTTTAACATCTGCGAGCAATCAGGAATATAGATGGTAAAATCCAGTTGTACTGACCTGTAACTGAACGTAGTCACAGTCCTCAGTGGCATGCTCTTTTGGTTTCTCAGAAGAGACCTGACTTTGGTTGGATTTGTCAGGCGTATTTCTTTGAAGTGAATCTATTTCTATTCTTCTCGGCACAGTGATTTGTTTTGCCATTTTGTATTCTGGGTTCACTTTTGATTGCTTCATTTCTTGTTCCTTCTCATGCTTTCTGAAGAGAAGCTTTCCGTTGGCAATGATGATGGATGCAAACCGCTTGATATCATCTGGAATTGTGCGGGCTACCATAACAAAGCGATCAAGATCATCTGGGTTGTTCTGAGGTTTCCTGAGGACCAAAGCCTCTAGTGACCAGTTGCAGTTGTTTAGAGCTTCTCTTGTTTCTGTTAAGATTTTGAATGAGTTCATAAGGATTTCTAGCTGTTTTTTAATTCTGGTCTGAAGGTTGTTATCAGTGAGGTAAGAGGCATTTACCTTTATGACTTGAGCAAAGGCCAGAAATTCCCCCAGTGACACTTTTATGTGATCAACAGCTCTATGGATTTCTTCAATGCTTTTCTCTAGGTGCTCTTGTAATCTCCACTTACTACTCACAAAGATCATTAAACTCGCAACTGAGCTGGATACGCTGTGCTGCAATCTGGTCAGGGTCTCTATGGCTACATCAAGGGCCAGTCTAATTGCTTTGGCAGGCTGTTCTGACGATGATGTAGAAGACGACTCGGCAGAAGAGTTTGAGGACGTAGAGAGCGTGCTGCTTCTGCTCTCCACACTAGAAACAGAAAACCTGTCTTGTTCTAATTTGGCATCTCTTGAGAGCTGTGGAGGAGCACTGCATGCTTCGTCTCCAGAACTATCGCTGGTTTTTTCCATCTGTTTCTTGGACTGCGAAGCAGTGGGCAAACCTTTTGGAATATCATAAACGTTCCCTTCAGAAATCTGATTCTCAGCCTTTGGAGCCGGGAGAGCTGGGGATACATCACAGCTACCGTTTTGTGGCAAAAGGAGCACGTCCCGTGAGGATGGAACATCGTAGAGGTGGATATCTGGAAATGTCAATTTCCGTTGTGTTGGTGGAATATCATATAATTGTGGATTTACAACTTTGGCTTCGGTATTTGCTGTTAGCCCCTTGTACCTGGCTGGTGGTATATCGTACAGCACCTGGTTCTCGTTCAACCTGGAATGGCCAGAAGGCTTTTGTTTTAACCCTGGTTTTTCAGGTGATACTGGAATATCATAAATCCATTCTGACTTTCGAGGATTTGGCAAGGTATTGTAATGGCCCCAGAACTTTTTCTGAGATTCATTTTTTGAACCATCAGTTTCTCTTTTGGGAGGGACATCATATAGCTGCAACAGAGCACACAGGATTCATCAACAGTGTTTTTAAAACAAGAGCTAAGAACCAAAGCTGAATTCTCAAAGCCTGTAAATATATGCAACTCCAGCAATGTCAATGGAACTGCACTATGAAAACGCCAGCCTGTCATTTTTATTTTCTTTATAAAATGCTCAAGCTGCACATACCAAGGTTAACATATTTTGCACACATGCGATTAAATCACACAGCAGTGACCCCAGCCAGGGAGATCTGTGGGCTCTTCCCTGGCTCCTTTGGGGTGGGAAGCTGTCATAGTTCTCTGAAAGGGCTACGAGAAGAGCGAAATGCCAGTTTATTAGTGGGTAACGTCAAACTCGGTTTTACAGGCTGAAGGAGGTAAGCTTTCATCAGCCTCTGTGTAAGAAAACACTTGATTTTCCAGTATCCTCACCCACATTCATATGTATACCCTGACAAAAAAATAAATCACCAACAGATACAACTGGCTGTTCTCAAACAACTGCAATGAGTTTGATTTTTTACTTGATATAGGTTTGCTAGGTCAGATACGGCTCTTTCCCAATGCCTTAAAAAAATATTTGTGCACAGCTGAAGTCTCTGAGCTGGAAAATGCACGCTTCTTGTGCAAGAAAATCCAGACTAAGCCTAATAGGTACTTTGGGACAGATTGTGCCTGGATGCCCTACAAGCACAAAGCACAAGCACGAGGGAGTGGAAGGAGCTGTAGAAGTGTGCAGCAACAAGAAACAGCTGAAGGAACCACTATGTCATAAAAATTTTAGAAAGAACTGGCCAGGTCAGGCTTCCCCATCTGCAGAAGACATGTGTGACAGGGGGAGTGCAGATAAGGGCATTTCAGACCAAAGCCTGAATTTTCCAAATTGCCCCTGAACAAAGAGTTCTAAGAAAATGTGATTTTAGAAGCAGCGATAAACTGTGTCTGCAAAAGGAAATCTGCTCCCAGGCAGCTGCAGCTGGTTGGTACAATTGTTAACAGCCACGAAGACGTCGGGAACGCCAGCTTCAACGAGCAATTGCTCACAGGCCAGTGCCCTGGTTCTGGGCAGCACCGGTCCTGCTGTCACTGCCGAACGCACCCTGTGCAAGGCTGGCTTCTCAGTCATGGGGCAGCCCTGACCCTACGGCACTTCTCTTTAAAGCCATAAAAGCAGGAAGCCTCAGATTGATTCCCTGTGCCCTGAGGTGCCACAGCCCAGCCCAGGGAATGTGTGCTAAGGAGCCTGACTAAATTCTACTGGGTACTGAAACCGTTCAGGAAACCTGAAATATTTGGCACTCAACTAATGCAGAGTCTCCACTGAGGCATTTTATTTACTCTGAAATTTCACATCAGCCAAGGGTGGTGCTTGTCAAGCAGTGGGAAGAGATGGGAAGCCTGACCACCCCAAGGGTGTCCCCAAAGCCAGGTGTGCTCCACTCCCAAAAAAGGTGGTGGGAGGGTGCTGCATGGGAGCAGGTAGTTTCTGTATGCTTAAACAATACAAACAATTAGACTTTTAAGAACGTAGGGTATTGAATTTGCTTTTCACTTTGTCCTAAGAGGAAAAGATGAGAACTTGTTGCCTGCAGTCTAATAAGCAAATGCAAATGCAGTAGTAGTCCTAGTCCTGGCAGGTCCCCCGCTATCCAGGAGCCAGGCAGTAGCTCTCCCTTTAACGTGAAGGACGAAGTACTGCACTGAGGGTCTGCTGGTCTTATCGCCTGGGAGCTCACCTCAAGGGAGGTTCAGCACATGTGCCCAGCATCGTCGTAATGAGAGATTATTCGCCCGTCCCACACGTCTTACCTACCTGGCCCACCGGTGAGTCTGTCTGGAGAACAGCTCCTGCCTTTTCTGGGCTGGATGGGATCTTGTAAAGCTGCTTCTGCTCTTCCTGGAAACCCTCGGTGGATCTGAGCGGCACAGAGCCCTTTCGTGCGGTGGGCGGAGTGGCACCGCTCTGGGCAAAGGGAAACAGAACAGGTTGGCTTCCATCCTTTGCAGAGCCTGCTGAAGACTTTGGTGGAGTCAAAGGCTTTTGGGCCTCAGCACCTGGTTTGGACGGTGTGGGTCAAACTCAACCTGTGGGATTGCTGCAGGAGCACTGTGGGAGAGCTGCAGGAGAGCTGCGGGATTGCTGTGGGAGCTGCGGGATTGCTGCGGGAGAGCTGAGGGATTGGTGCAGGAGCTGAGGGATTGCTGCGGGAGCTGGGGGATTGGTGCAGGAGCTGAGGGATTGGTGCGGGAGCTGAGGGATTGGTGCGGGAGCTGGGGGATTGGTGCGGGAGCTGGGGGGTTGGTGC